AGTCCAAACGCGCGCCTCTGTTCTCGGGATGGAAGAGAGGACGGCTGCAGCCTTTTTGTGTTGTAGGCTTATCACCGTCGGTTCTTGGTTAGAACCGATAGTGATAATGCCCAATTACTGTAGGCTCTTGGCTTAAACCGGCAGTGATGAGTGCCCGCCAAAACACTGCCGGTTTAGGCCACAAACCGGTAGTGATGTGGCCCTTCACTGTCGGTTTTAGCCCAGCCCTAATCATTTTTTCATTTTCAAACTCATGACCGGCAATGAAGGTACATCACTGCCGGTTCTCATAAATCCGGCAATGATGAGACCGGTAGTGATGTACAAATCTGGCATAGTGGCAATTGATGCAGCTGTTCTTCCCAGTGATTTTGAAGCAAAGGTGGATGTGTTTTTCTTGGAACCTGAAAGACAACACTATCGGAGTGTTCGACCCAGCATGTATGAGCATATCTGCTTTGCAAAGAAGCAGCGTATACACATATGTTGCAGAGATGTTGAAGGGTGCCATTTCATCTGCGGTTCGGGTCCTATTTCCTGGGTGGGATCATGATTGGTCTGCTGCATCAGTTGCCCCATTTAATTGGCGCTATGGGGGTTTGCACTGGTTAGTAACAAGGGAACATATCTAGTGCAAACCAATCTCTTTGTACAAACTGTGCAAACCAACTGTGGGGAAGAGGTGGAAGAGGGAATTTGCAAAAGTGTAATTACGTCCGCTCCTAATTATGCACGATTTACACGGAGAGGTTGGTTTACACTTGATACATTGCCTAGTAACAATCTCTGTCCACATGCATCCAAATACTGATCCATTTCTTTGCATCAATGTACAGATCTAGTGCTTTTAATCAGTCAGGTTAGCTAAAGATATTTGCAGTTAGGAGACAAGAACGCATTGGTGTATTAGCGCAGGGCTGATTATTGATTATTTATTTTTATTCTTTTTGCAGCTTGAATCGTACTGGTGTCCTCTGTGCATATTTTTGCAGGTGCTTCAATGGGGAGCGACTAATTCCAGAAATAGAAAAGGTAATTCATGCTGGTTACTGTGTTCAAGGTGAAATATAATAGTCCCTTCTACTACTTCTATGCTATACCTCCTGTCGCTAAAAAAAATGTGCAACGTCAGGGGGACATTGGACGCATTTCATCATTGATGTTTGCTGAGATGTGTGGACTACTTAGCAGTATCGGGAGAACGGAGAGCAACCGATAGGTGGGCACGTAACAGAGATGCAAATATCATCATCAAGGAACGGTCCTGTTCGTTTCTCTTATAATCCATACTTTTTAGCTTATTTTTTTAGTCGGAACAGTGTTTTTCTCTCACAACAAATCAGCCGGAACAGTGTTTCGACTTATTTTTTCAGCGAAGCGAACGAAGCCACTGCATTGTTGCAAATTAGGAGCAGTGGCGGAGGCAGCTATATGGCGAGATCTGGCCTCCGCCATACCTGAAATGGATAGAAAACACTAGTATATTATGTGTATATACGGTTATATACGTGAAATATAAATATTGAAATATACATGGTGGTTGGCCTAGTTATTAGGACCGGACCGGCGGTTCAACCGCTAAAAGACCGAACCAGAGCCTAGACCGGTCCGGTTCACTTAAAAGACTGTCTGTGCAATCAAACCACTAAAAATCGGTTGAACCGGCTGGTTGTTTACGGAACCGGTGAACCGGCCGGTTCCATACGGACCGGACGCTTTCTTGCTGGTCATCTGCGAGCAGCACCGCAGCATGCTGCCGATTGGTTCATGGGTGGCGCGTGTGCCTGCGGCTGCTGTTGGTAGGCCCCGCCTGCCCCTTGCCTAGCTGTTACCACCGGTGGTGGTTCACGCTTGCACAGTTGGCATGCATGCCGAGCTACCGCCTTGTTTAGATGCCATTCAAATTTTAAGTTTTTTCACTCTCTCCATCACATCAATTTTTAGCCGCTTGCATGGAGTATTAAATGTAGGTAAAAAAAATAACTAATTACATAGTTTAGTTGGAAATCACGAGATGAATCTTTTGAGCCTAGTTGGTCCACGATTGGACAATATTTACCAAATAAGACGAAAGTGGTACTATTCATCGTGTTCACTTTTTTTTGCAAAGTGAACGAGGCCTACGTTTGAATTTTGGATGCGCTCACGTCAGTGCCTTTTAAAATTCAAAATTTATATCTTTGTCATACCAACTCCAAATTAGTCAAATAATATTCGTTTTGATTATCTCAACAAGCTCTTCGCAATAGCGCACTTTATTTTAATATTTAAGATTGTTTTGCAATGATGAATATTTGAATTACTATTCAAGTCCTTTTTTTGCACTAATTCGTAAGTGCTCCATGTATTATCTTTTCTTTTGTTTATATATATATATATATATACATTATAAAACAACTCTGGAGCACTAAAACTTGTGGAGCTTGTATGTTTTGAATTTAAGAACATGTTATTCTCTGCATATGTATGAACCTTATGGTTGTACAATTAAATTATGCTATTTACCATTTATCAATTATTAATTATAGCATATACATATATGCCGGTTCAATGTATTTGTGACCGGTTCGATTTAACCGGTCCAAAACAATTGAACCGACGGTTCAACCGGTTCTAAACGGTTGGACCAGTGAATCAGTGAATCGACGGCCTCGCCGATTCGATCTTGGGTCCGGTCCTAGTAACTATGGCTGTTGGCCTCTGCCGCTGTGCACGGATGGATTTTGTTTCTGGGCTGGTATCTCATGGGCCTACGTGACTACGTCAAGAGCCCACGGCACTGTCCACGAAAGGAAGCTAGCTCGGTTCGTATTTTCTGAAGACCAAAACCTATCGGCTATCGCACATCCAAAAACGGCGGCGCATCAAGCGCAGAGGCGGCGAGCCGGCGGTCGACGACGGCGAACGGCTGTCGGCTTCGAGTCTGACATATGAAGGAATCGACATAAAAAATGGCACCACCAAGGAAGAGCAGATACATAATGAAAGGTATTTTATGTTTTAGATTGTAACTACTAATTAGATTACCTTTTCGTGTTAATTAATTTATCTAGGACATCGTCACGCACGGACAGTTCAATAATCAATTATTAATTATTATTTTTGAATTTTTTCTATTCTGTTTTTTATACAGATTTGAAGACCATTTTTGCCCAAGCATCTATCAGTGCCAACTCGAACCGAGATCCGCCTGAGCCTGAAGATTTATTTGTTCCAACAACAAGATTTATTTAGTGAGGTATTTTATGTGTCAATGCTTTACTTTTGGATTTCTGTTATATTTGCTGATCACATAATAATATACATGTTTAGATAATGTTCTAGTGTGTCCTTGCATAATTTATAGTTATATTATACATGTTCGACCTTTATAAACCCTGCCACACCTAGAAAATATTCCTGCCTCCGCCACTGATTGGGAGAACAGTCCTTGAAACATTTTTTCGGACTACACTTGTACATAGGTGAGTTTGCCTTCTGTCAGCCTGTTCGGTTGGCTGGTTTGATGAAGAAGACTCTTTGGCTGGTTTGGTGAGAGAAAAATTTGCGGCTAGAAATTTTCTGTATTGCCCAAACGAACAGGCCGTGTATTGTCAAGGTCTCAGTATGTGGGTCTCTTTAGGACATTAAGACGTGAGCACGTTTACTAAGTACTGTGTTTATTGGATTTCACTAGTAGGTGGACAGAGCTTCTGTGGAAGGAACATGGACGCCAGGGCTTGATGGATTCAGCTCAGGAAGGCGTAATAGTGCATTGAGGGCCTAGGTGTATGGTTTGCCTAATTTTGAAGAAATGCAAATTGGCAGCCACAGAAATAGAATAGGAATCTAGAGGAAGCAGGATTCCTTATGTTTTAAAGACTGATGATAGTATCGTAATTGGTGATGTAAGAACTTAATGTATCGCTATTGAGTACTGTAAGACCTATATCAAGCACGTCACTAGATGTATCGTTTCGAGCACAAACTCGTCTAATGTTTAAGTGCATGTGGTACGCAAGATTGGATGTTGCGAAATACGGCCTGGTCTGATATACTCGCCATATATGTCTGAAAACACAAGTAAACATTACAGTGTTCCAATGGAATGCCCTTTAGATTCCTGATGCATGTGTTGCCTTAACAAGTTCATATACAAATATGTCGTGTATGAAATTAAAGCCAAGACAACATTACAATTTGAATGAAGAGGCATAATTGGTTGAATGATATTAGATGAGATGCAGTGCACAGAAGAAGTTGCCAGACATTGGACTAAACTAGAATAGGCTTGATAGTTAATTCAGTCGGGTCCTGAATTTAACATTGTGTCTGGAACCCAGTTGCACATGTAGTGCCATTACATCAGAGAACAGCTGGGCAATGCCTGAAGTTTATCATGTATTCGTTGGGGCAGCCCCAATGCTTCACGCTGAGTTGATGAACCCATTGTCGCAAAAGAATAGGAAGGTGTGGGAAGAAACTGACAAGAGACATGATAAGCAGTAAACGCGTAATGACCTCTAACGTGCCATTACACCAGCAATCAAACGGGTCTTGCCACCCCTTGGGTTCTCTTCATCTATGCTATGCCGATGCTCTCTCTTCTGCTCTTCCTTCCATGATCCAAGACTAGAATTAGCACGTCTTCCCTTCTTTGTAGGTCTGTCTGGACAACGAAGAGGAGCACTCAATATATAACTTGGAGCACTGGTAGTAGTGACCGACTGCGAGCCACGTATATGAAAATTGGGCTTACTGATAATCCTGTAGTGACCATGCTATCCATAACAGTTTGAATGAGCGCCACAATTAGTAGGACAGCAACTAGCATAGGAAGTGCAACCAAGCCCTACAGTTGCGATCTGCGAAGCCATCAGAAACAGCACCGAAACTGTACAAACCAGGCCAAGATAAACAAGTGGAAAGAGAAATATTTACATCCACCAAACTAACCCACTCAAGTAACCAGAGTTAACACACACTCATCTAGCTACGCATTTTCCTCAGCTGAACCCCAATCATGACCAGATCCACAGTGCATAGTATGCAAGGGTGGCGTTCTTCAGCCAGCATAGCATCAGCAGGAAATACTGCATCTGGGCGAAGCAGACGCCCAAGTTGAGAGCCATGGCCAGAACCTGTCCAGCCGAGTGAACCTTCGTACCAGTGAAGGTCCAGAAGAATGAACCCCACGACCAGCTGAGGCCGCAGGAGACGACACACGTCAGGGCGAACATCGCAGTCGTGTAACCCGTCGGCATGCGAGTTCCACCACCAACTCCGATCTGAACTTCTAGGATCAACGGAATTGCGACCTTGCAGACAAAATGTCAACCATGAACAGTATCAGCTGTTTGTTCCAAGAAAACATCTGAGAGTCTAAAGTTCTAAGTTTTAGCTCTTCTTTCAGTTACCTGGCAAATTACCATCACGATGGCACTGATGGCGAACGTCACCTCCCGGCCAAACTGTTTCACTGAAAGTGCAGATCCAAGAACTCCGCAGGAGTTCACCAAAACCAGCACGATGTTACCGATCACCGCTGGGCTACTCCTGGAACTTATGGCTCGGGACAGCATTGGCAAGAACAGAATGGTAACATTCACTCTGGTTAGCCGCAGGAAGAGTTGCAAGGCCGCCAGGACTATCATGCATGCCAAGTACTGCTCATTCCTCGCCATGATCCTCCAAATTATACTTGTGTCATGACCACTCCGTGTCCACTGCCTGCTGAAGCTGAGCTTCTTTTGTGGGATATCAACAACCTTCAAACAAGCAGGGTAACAGATGCACTGAAGTGCTAGACCGACATAAGCTCGCTTGCGCCCAAGCAAACTTGATAAGAAGGTCTGATCATTGCCCAATTCATTATTATCCATGACCAAAACTGATTCTCCACGGAGGTTAGCACTATGACCAAGGATGAGTTGCCGACCACAAAAACGGTTCGGGATCATAGTGCAGCCACAGAGCTTGGTCACTAGGACACCAATGCTGACAAAGAATGGCAAGGAGCCACACCATGACAGCGAACTCATAGCACGGGAAATCAGCGTGCGCTGCCAAATTGTCCAGTTAGAGATGTGTTAATAGCATGAATAAATTGAAAGAAAGCAGTATACAAAGAGCATTCTCTTGAGTGCATTCGGCAACTGACCTGTACAACAGAAGTTCTGTTTAGTAACCACCTACGAATAAGAGCTCCGTAGCTGGTGGCAATACTCTGAATAGCAGTACCAGTACTAAAAAATGTACGGTCGATCAACAGAACAGGAAGGTGCGCCATTTTGTGGGTGAGATGGCAGCCAACGGTAGAATTGTTTAACGATATACCAAACATATCCACATATTTCCTGTACAGAGAATTCAGCTCCAGCTTTGCCGTGGCAACGCTAGGGAAGAACGCCATCACAGATGACTGCATTTTGAAAACACGTGCACGCCAAAGCAAATTATCAGGCCATGTGCGGTAACAAAAAAAAAGTGAGTACATGCTGAAGAATTGCAAATGTAGAACTCAAAATGTGTTTTCAACTTGACCTGATAACATTGCTAATAATCTTATAATTCGATCTAGAGACTGACTACCCGCTAACCTGCACAAACTTATTAAGTTACTTCGTGTGGGTTCCTTTTAGTTTTAGGCACTGATTATTGGAGATTAATCATAAGTATCTTGGACTAGCAGTGAGTTTGGAGAATTTGTAAGCAAAAATTAACAAATTCGGTGTTGGTGTTAGATTAGATCTAACGTGACGTGGGTTGGATATGAACATACAGATCTAAGTGATATCAAAGATCTCAGCAGACAACTTGGATCCAGCATAGCAAAAAATTTGGAACTTTGAAGAGGACATTGCATTGGTACTCTCCTACAAATGATAAGTACAAGATACTTCGCTTCGAACAGACTCCACTGAATATTCCCAGCACGTGGAAGATTCCTCCATCCAACGAAGGCCACTGAACGTGGGCCCTACGCACGGTTAGGCTCACGTGACGCTCTCCCAGAAGAGCCAGAAGCTAGTAGACGTCCGGCCAGCGTGCGTGTCTCCTTTTCCAGCTGCAGAGTGCAGACGCCGAGCAACACGAGCCACAAGTTGGAGATTCCGAGCAACGCGCTGGCATTTTCCTATGCTGTGACGATTTCTTTTTTATTTTCAGAAAATAAAAAAAGGGAGCCCGGCTCCGGCTCCCATGGAGTTGGATCATGAGCTTGGCGCTTATGAAAGCGACACGACACATGAATGCGGTCGCGTGTGTATACGAGTACACTACTGTATACATCTCGTGGCACACTGTTCCATACGACTCGTTTATCGTCTAACTAAGCTAGCGACTCGTATGCGTTTTATCAAGCTCTAGGAGAAAGGAAACGATGCGTCTAAAGGTAAAGGTCAATGAGGTCTCATGTCAGGAAAATAGTGTATAGTGCCTAGATAGTACTTGCAATTTCAGAGAGAATGAGAGATCAATACGCTTTCTTCCAAAAAGAGAGCATCGCAAAACCTGAACTTTGCTGCGACATGCAGCAAGAGAGGCAGCAGAGCCCGAAATGAGGAAGCCAATTCATGGCCTCATCCATGGAGACAGAACCCCGTTCCCCTTCTAGACCGTTCATTGATGCGAATGCGACGTGCTGCGAGTGCGAGTGCGATCTACACGGCTTTTCCAACTCGCTTTACGAATCGCGTGACATCACTGGACTAACCCCTTTTTTGTCGTTGCAAGAGAAAGATAAGGAGGGCTGGAGAAGGAAGGAAGGAAGGAAGGAGGAATTTCTGACCTGCTGCTTGGTGGATGGAGAGTGTTTCGGAGAATACCGCAACAGTACCCGGCGCGTCCCTCCCCCTTTGCTGCGGCCTTTATGCTCCGCGGGCCCCGCCGGACGGCGACGGCGACCACCCCTCACGCCGGCGGCGAGCTCTTGGAGGAAGTGTCGCCGCGCCGGAGATCGAGCTTGCCCGCGGAACGGGAGAGCTGAGCAGGGGAGTGGTCCCGGCGAGTAGTGTGTGCCTGTCAGCAACAGCTGTGATCCTTATCAGGACGTATCGTAGGTAGAGAACAAGAAGAGGCGAAGGTTGAAGTGCCGAGGAGACGTACGGCGGAAACGAGGCGTCAGCGCTTTCTTCTCGCCTGCCGACTGCCGCGCGCTTCTCTCGAGCTGGAATGGAATATAGTAGTAGCAATATGGTGGTAGGCCGGTGGCGATCACAAGAAGTGTCAAGAACAAGAGAGGAGAAAGCGAGAGGAGAGGAGAGGAAGGAGGTGGGGGCGAGTGCGAGAGAGACCGCGAACCTGTGTGCTTCGCTTTTCTTTTCTCACACCAGATGGTCCGCCGGCGTCCGGTATTGTCAATTTGTGATGTGGGGATCCTCGGGTGCTCTGGTGCTGGTAACGTGATGTGGGCGCAGGGGTGGGTAGAGCAGGAGGAGGTGAGCAAGCCAAGCGGGTTTCGATGGGCGTGCCGAGGTAAAGCTGGCTGGCGTGGCCGCTGGGGGCCGCGGCGCCGGTGCTGCGCCTCCCACTGCGGCGCCTACGTGTGGGCTTGCATGCGAGGCAGCGTGCGCGACCGCGCAGGCGTTTTTTTCGGTGGCGCACGGGGGCACGGCCGCGACCGCGATGCGGAGGGAGAGCGCCCGCTCGCTTTGGCACTTTTGGCCTTTGGGGGTGGTGGTTGCCGGCGGCTGGCGCACGGTCAGGTTCACAAGTAGATCAGATCCCGACTCCTACCGCTGTAGCCGCTCTTCTTTTTTTCTTTTTCTTTTTTTTAGGGGAGACCGCTGTAGCCGCCTGTTAAGCCGGGCTGCCGTGGAGATCAGCACCTGTTCGCTTTATCGTATCAGCCATACTTATCAGCCATGATATAGTGTTTTACTCTCATAATAAAACAGCATCAGCCGGTTTATAAGCCACAAAAACGATCAAGCGAACATGGTACAAATCAGGTCTGGTCAGGAAATTTGTGCCCCACCTGACCGGGACCGTGTCATTAACCTGGGGCTAAGCAAAGGGGGCATCATGGGCTTGAAATCGAGCTAATTTTGCTTTCGAGGCCCAACAAGTCTGAGTAGCCCAATAAGTCATAATTATGCCATTAGCTGTTGCAGACTTGTACGAACATGGCGCGTATTAGGCCCAATGAGATTCCACACCACGCAGTTCGGCACCAACTTAGGGCACTCCCAAGTCCCAACCAATAGTTTCCAACAATTTCCAAGTAGGAGACAACACAATTAATGATCCTTGCGAACTACTTCCTTTATCTCTGAAAGAATAAATTCCTAGCAACTTTAGGACAAATTAGCAACGAAGATAAAAGATCATGCTGCCCCTCATTAAACTATTGAACCTTGATAGCTCTCTAGTTACCGAGAAGCGTAATTAAGTAGTGTCGTTTGGAGTATCCAATAGCAGCGCAAGAGAGAGGGGTTGTGTTAAATGAACGCAAACTACGAGAGAAATTAATGTGGATCTGTGGATCATTCACCTCCAGAAATCGATTCAAGATGTCAACGAGAAATTCCCCGTCGGGGGACAGCTTCCCATCCCCGTCCCCGTGGAGCAAAAATTTCCCCATCCCCATCCCCATGAATGCCAACGGGGGAAGTTCCTCACCCATCCCCGTCCCTGTGCGGGGATTTTATCCGTGCGGGTCCCCATCCCCGTCACAAAATCCAGCGAGACGGAGAAGACGGGGGATGGAGGATCTGGGCGGGGGCAGCAGGCACGAAACGGAGAAGAGGGTGAGGTACCGCGAGATCCGGCTGGCCAGCTGAGCCACCGTCGCTGACGGAGGGGAAGAGGCGATGCACCAGCAGCACCGCGTCCAGGGGCAGCCACCACTGAGCGTCGCCGCCGACAGAGAGGAAGAGGCGACGGGCGCTGTCAGGGCCAGGAACCGGGCGGAGCCGCAAGCGGAGAAGAGAGGAGTAGGGGCCAGTGGTTCAAGTCGACGCGCACGGGATTGAACGTGGTGGGGCAGCCGCGTCGCTAGGCCACCCGCCCTCTCCCTTGCTGGAGCGGTCGTGCCGCCGGGGGCCGGCCGTTGCTCGGGCGATGAGAGGTGGAGGGAGTGCGAGACTACGAGAGCGAGAGGGAGTGCGGTGGCAGGGAGGCAGAGTAGGAGACCTAGGTTTTTCTATATGTGTGTGTGTGGCATTCTTACGTGGGCTTTGTTGGGCTGATGGGCCGAGGGAATGAGCTGGAGGCTGTGATGAGCAGTGAGGAAGCGGGGATGGGGGACAGGTTCCTAGACCCGCCCCCGCCAGACCCGACGGGGAATGATTTTCCCCTATTTAGTTCCCCGTGGGGATAAATTTAGTCCCATCCCCGTCCCCTAATAGGGGAATTCCCCGCGGGGAATCGGGGATCGGGTCCCCATTGACATCTCGAGTCCCAACCAATAGTTTCCAACAATTTCCAAGTAGGAGACAACACAATTAATGATCCTTACGGACTACTCCCTCTCCCTCTGTCTCTGAAAGAATAAATTCCTAGCAACTTTAGGACAAATTAGCAACAAAGATAAAAGATCATGCTGCCCCTCATTAAACTATTGAACCTTGATAGCTCTCTAGTTACCGAGAAGTGTAATTAAGTAATATCGTTTTGAGTATCCAATAGTAGCGCAGGAGAGAGGGGTTGTGTTAAATGAATGCAAACTACGAGAGAAATTAATGTGGATCTGTGGACCATTCACCTCTAGAAATCGATTCTTTTGGAGATAAATTTTTGGGCTAGAAATTGATTCTTTCAGGGACAGAGAGAGCATCTCCTTAGAAACTCTCTATCAACCTATGATTTCTATACCAGTTTCTATATAGGGGACAACTTAAATACACAAAAAAAGACATAGATCAACTATGGCAATAAGTAGCCACTTGCTCTATTGTAATGTACACTACGGTGCAGTACGGTAAATGAGACCATTTGTAAACAAAGATGTATATTGCCACGACCAGCCAATTAGGCCATTGCGAGTTTATCCAGCTCTAAACCGGAAGAGAACATAAACTAGTAGACTACCTTTTCGACTCTGTCACTAATAGAGTGCAGTATGGTAAATGAGACCATTTGTAAACAAAGATGTATATTGCCACGACCAGCCAATTAGGCCATTGCGAGTTTATCCAGCTCTGAACCGGAAGAGAACATAAACTAGTAGACTACCTTTTCGACTCTGTCACTAATAGAGAACAGACTTTTGGCTTGAGGCTTTAGTCCTGGTTATTTTTGGGCCTGGGACTAAAGTCCCCTGCCCAACGGCTAGAGCCGCAGCTTTTGTAGGAGGGGAGAAGGAGGGGACCTTTAGTCCTGGTTGGTGGCTCAAACCGGGACTAAAGGTCACCCTCCAGTCCCAGTTGGAGCTAGCAGTCGTGACTAAACCTTTAATCCCGGTTGGTGGGT